TATAGAATGAATGTTGTCAGTTGTTCAGCAGCACACAGGAGTATGCATCAATTAATGGTAAGGAGTGAAACTGAGCAGTGAAATCTGTGATATTTAGTTCTTTCTGCACTGAAAAAAGTAAGGATTCAAACAGTAGCTAAGTTGAAGCTGCAGCTTTTCTCTCACTGGTTATTAATAGGATCCTCTGCTCGACTATCTCATGAAATCTGTTGCAACTTAATGGCCTTGAGAATGGCTGAACTTGGCCGATGGTGTAAAAAGCCATTGGGAGAGCATTTCACACCCACACATACATAAATGTGCGTAGAGTATCATTGTAGATTTAAATTATGTTTGACTAATGCCATTACATTTAAAATAAAGCCTAACACTTGATCGATATAACAAAAAGCTGCTGACTTCGCTTTCAAAAATTATATATGTGAAAATACAGACAAAACCTTATCTTGCATGTCTTAGTTTCCCTTGATAATTTGAGAAGAACGCTTAGGAGAAGCGCTAAGTATATTATTCTAAACCCATGCTGTGTGGTAAATTGAACATTGCGAAAGCAAAGTTTTCTGGACTATGTAAGATGAACTGAGCAAGTTAATTTTAAAGGCATTTTATCCTGAACTGGTGGATTTATAAACTAAATGATTCAGTCTTCCCCTCTGGGAATCTAGCTTTACCTTTGTTTCAGATTCCTAGGAAATAATTGAGAGTATGGCCTGGGATCAGAGAGGATCTGATAATTGTGTCGGAATTACTGAACATTCAAGAAATAATCCTTGTGAGAAGATCACATTGAGATTACGAAATAGTTACCCGTAAAGGTTTTTGAGTATTTCTGTGGCAGACCAGAGCTTGCCTGTAGATGGCACCAAAGACAGTCAAGTCCAGTCGTGAAATCTCTCCAGAGTACTTCAGGTGAGAGAAAACCAAGGAACTGAGTGAGAAGAGGTTAACAGGCGGGCATTCATGAGCAAGGAAGAGAAGAGCAAGGAACAAATATTTAAAAGAAAAAGGTCTAGTCTACCAAATCAGTCGACAGACTGGAATATAAGCAGGCTAAATTGAAAACTCAGAAAAAAATTTAGAGGGCTTTCCTTTAATGATGATTAGGAAGATCAGGTTATTTTGTCTAACAAAACCACGTTTTACTGTGTTTATTTTTATGCTGGCTAAATATTACAGACTGTCAGGGAGATCATTGCAAATATAAGATCAGTTTGTTCTGGAAGCCTGGGATTTAGAGCAGAAAGTTAGTATCTAGGAAATACCAGCAGATTAATATCTAGTTGTGAGGAAACTGATGTGGTTCCCTTTGAGTCAAGTATTTGCATATTCTACTTTTAGGGTCAACGACGTCTTTGTAACTGCAGGGGAAGGGATTGTCTAGGGGTACCTTCTTTTCATATTGTAACCAATGTGGTGATCTGATTTTCTTTTGTGGAGCTTGATACATAGAAACTCGTGATTTTCTTGTTTTCATGAGTGTAGGATGTGCTCATAAGCAAATCAAAAGTTGTGGAGCAGACATATCCCAGCTGCTACACAGTTTGCTTTATAGGCCTTCGGTACAAAGAGCATACCAGAAAGTCCATACCAAGGTAATGGTCTCTTTCTGTGCTTGCAAGCAAAGATAATATGGAAATTAAGTTTCATAAAATGTGAACACTTTAAATTAGTTCATATTCCACAGCATCCACTTATTAAAATGTTTTAAAATATATAAACAATTAAGTGTGAAAATGTTAGGTAGATGTCTGCTCGGGGATTTAATCAAGATGTATCTATTTCAGTAACCCATTCCAGGAAATGAATCCAGCCTTGGCCCCCTCTGCCCACACTGTTTGTGTGAAGAGCTCCAGGCGCCTCTGATGATGCTGCATCAAAGATTTTCCACATGGGCTGGCTGCTAACTCAAAGAAGAAACTTTACCAGTCTATGTGTGCAATGAATGTTCTGACATCCCCTTGCCCTTTCTGTGCTCTCTTGCTTGTTAGAAGACGACTGTGAGATTTCGAACAGTTGGAGAGCTGAAATTGAATCTGAAGTTTACAAATGGCTCTAGGTTGGGATTTCCAAAGGAACATGAAATTAGGATGCAGCCAGCTTCCACTGAATAAAGGAGATTTTATCTTATGCATGAAAGGAGATTTTATCTTATGCATGATTCTGCTCCTTTATCAGGACAACCCAAAATTTCAGTTTAAGAGACATGATGGATTCAGTGGCTAGAGCACTAGGGTGGGTTTGGGATATTGGCTTCAACACCCTGGCTTTCTATATCCTTTTTGTAAGAGCTTGTGTAGGACAATCAATTTCTCTTTGTTTAATTCCCACTTAAAGAAATCATAGTTCATCTTTATTTCACAGGAAGTATTGGGAGGATTAGAGATCAAACTGCTCTTACAGGGTAATAAGGAGACTGACGTGTGTCCGAGAACTCACAGTCTTTGGGCTCAGTGGAACTCAGATCTGCCACTTGACATGTTGCTTGCTCTTTAATTGCCTTAAATAAAGGTAAAACACATAAACAACATTTCATTTATCCTGGGAATTATGAAGCAGTATTATACTGAGTATTGTACTGAGTAGGTTGGTTTTACTCTAGACCTGGGAACAGGTTATCAGTGTGATAATACAGGGTGTTGTTAGATCCTTTCTGATTTGATGTAGCATAAACAATTTCTAACAGAATTTTGTTTTTTTACTGTGTACTCAGCAGTGTTTTATTTGTGTACTTCATTCATAAAAGCTTGATGCAGAGGCTTTAATTCTTACTTATTAGATTGCCCAGAGAGGTTATACGACCTCCATCCTTGAAGCTGCTCAAACTCATCTGAGAACAATGTGCCCTAAGTTGGCCTTCTGAGGAAGCGATTGGACCAAAGACCTGCAGAGATACTTTCCAGCATGAATTACTCTGTGATTCTATACCTTAATTGTGGTAACATTGTGATATCACGCTTTGTCTCTTTATTACTTCAGATGGCATCCACATAGACATCCTGCAGTCAAAGGTTTTGTTTAGTGCAATGACATTGTCTAGTTCAGAAAACACTCCATGCTATTCCCTACAAAAACTGAAGGCTGCCACTGGCTGCACTTAAATTCATTGAGATGAACCTTCCAAGAAAACTTTACATTTTTGGAATTTGTTTCCTTTAGGTGGAAAATATTCTCTTCTAGTTTTGTTGTCTCTAAAAATGTGTATCCTAGTGCCAACAGAAGACTTTATAGGGAGTAGATGTTGTTTTTGCTGAACAGTCTATGGGCTTTTTTTTTAAATTCCCTTAAGGTTTACGTAAAGTTGCAACATACACAAGAGTTGCCTGATTCTCAGAAGTACTTCATTCCCCCTCGTGGCAACAGAAGGCAGTGATGTGCAGTTGTTTAGCATTTCTGAAATACACGATAGGCCCCTATGTACTCTTGGATTTCTTGCATTCCACATGAGACTTTCAGATGCGCAAGGAATGTGGTATCAGGTCTGTCACTTGTGGTATTGTGTGCGCCATCTGCTTGTGAACTAGTGACATGGTATTTTAGTGATTAGCAGTGTGAAGAGCTAATGTATGTATTACATCTGTATATTGCTGCAGATCTGGATTGCTCTGGATTTTTTTCTTCAGCAGATAGGAAAATGAATAAGGTAAAAGGAACCAACAGAGTCTCATCATTATGCAAAATATTTCAGCTGCAATTAACAACAGCTATAATTCAAGCCCAGATTTAACATCAAAGGTGGTGAGGATAGAATTAGGATTTATATTCATTATAATTCTGCCAAGGCTTCAGTGAGTCTGATTGCTAGAATTCCCCTTTTGCATTAGCTGTCTTAAATCTGCCAAACAGCTCTTTTACATGCTTGGGTATGAGTGAGCTGTACTTGCATCACATAATCATTTCGCAATTCATGGAGATGCCAACACTGAATGTTACATAAAAGTTCCAGAAGGCTTTGTTTCTGCTGTCCTTCGAAACAGCTGCCAAATTATAATTATCATCTAGTTTCAGCAGGGAATATTAAAATGACAGTCTGCTTGTGAGCTGGAACCATGTCATGGTAGATGGGAAAGGAGACAGCTAAATGTTGGTGGGGAAATTTCCAACGCACTCAGTGAGAAATGCACAACATCTACTCAGTCTATTGAGCTCTGCATTTAACCATGAACATTATTTACTTTGTCCATTAGTGAAGACAATGCTATAACTAGCTCTAAATCGTGTAAGACACTTATTAAAGGAAAGACTAGTTCTTAGTAATTTTCAGACTTAAGAAAATTGCTAATATTAAGGATTATATAGGTGATTATTCATTATAATAAATGAAAGGATTGAGTAATGGCCATTATTTAGCAATGTAACAGAACTTTGAGGTAATCAAACAGCAAGACTTGCTGTTTTTTCATCTGTAGGAGATACAGGAATTCACAAACGTGACAAAGTATTATTGTTTTGTACATATTAACAGATAATAAGCAACATGTTCATGATTCACAGAAAAGCCTCCAGGCCTGTGGCCCATGTTGTCAGGGGATGTGACTTGTGACAGTGTCAGAGTTGGGACCCTTCTCCTCTATCTCTCAGATTTCATAAAAGATAAATCTTCTTAACGGACAGTTACATTTTAGGCCATAAACATTTTCTGACGATACATGCTGTAGCCTAATAACTTAATTTTGTAAGATTACCCACAACTTATTCCATGATTTGAGCTATGTGTCAACTCCTCTTAAATTTTTTTCTCATATTCTCAGGGTTGGGATGTAATATAAATTAGTTTTAGCTAGCTTGTTAGCATTGCTTTTCCTCAAGGATCAGAGAATTAAGCAGAAATAAAAATCAGTGAAATCAGTACAATTAGGTCTTAAAAGATGTCATATTGTTTAAGATCGTCAAAACTGTGTCTGGCGAGTCAGCATGGTCAATTATGAGGATGGAAAACCTAAAGCAAAATTTAAAAAGCAGTTTTTCACTCCAAGTTGTTTGTTTGGTTTTTTTTAACCAAATTTTTGTTCTGTCCTCTTCCAGCCACAATTTCAACATTATGAGTGATTGAAAATCACAAAGTGCCTTCTTTACAATGGAAAAATAATAATACCACATGACCAAAACATCTGTACATTGCAAGATTTCTCAGCAATCTGGTGTGTGAACTTGATGTATGGGGAATTGCTAATACCTGAAACAATATAAAAATGTACAAACACATGCTGAGTGCGAAGTGCTTGTTGGACGAGGTAATTGGAAGAGTCAGTCCAGGTTGCCTTTGGTCTAATGCTGTTTATGACTTCACCAGAGACTGGAATTCTGTCAAGGAAGAAAATGAGAAATGCAGGGAATAAAACTAGATGAAAGTGGGTTTCATCATCTTTAGAGAAGATGGATAAAAATCACTTAAACTCCTAGCCATGGAGGGCTCCCAAAGTTATTATAACACTGCACAAGCTACTGCTAAACTGAGGTTCTGGGGGCGTAACAGATTTTTCACTCCTTAAAAAGAGTAAGTGCAGAGAGGAGGAGTGTGTCTGTAAATTCATGTTTGTGGGAAATCCTGAGTTAGAGGTATCTTTAATGCATTACAAACTCTGATAACAGGCAAGGAAGCAGAGAGTGAATTAGGTCAAGCCTGTAGCTTTCAATATGAGTTTTTTTTGTGGTTTTGTTGTTCCAAAGAGAAAATATCAGTAGTGATGTAATTGCAGAATGGGAGATTCAATGGTTAAGGGCTAAGATCTGCATAATATAATGCCCTATTTGGGGCTCATAAACAGAAGGTGCAAAAGCTGCTGCTAAAGCAAATTCCTCCAACAGTGTATCTCTCTCTCCTCCCAAACTCTGGCTAAGATTAGCACGTGTGTCTGTTAGAGTTATTGCCACCTGTCCTAGTTCAGCTGAGACAGTGTTTTCAGTGACTTCATCTCTAATACATGATGCATAATGTCCTATTTTCCTTTGCTGCAATTTCTAAAAGAAATATCCTGGCCATTTCACATCATCCCTGTGAGGTTTTCTTTAGGAATTTGATTTAGTTCCTCATAGAAGGACTGCCCAGTGAAATTTGCACTTACCAGCTAATTGTCCAGCACAAAATTCTGTGCTGCATTGCAGCAGTTCTAGCCTTGAAAAACAATACCAGTCTTATTTTACATTACTGAATTAACCACTCAGTAATATTGGCCGACGTTTGAGAGTGGTAGATGAAGAAGTAAGTTTATGTAGGTGGTAGTGTGTTTAAAAATCAAGGTGTCAGATGGCCAGAAGTGCAGAGCAGCCACTGCCAAAATGGAAATTCAGAGAATGAATGTTTTAAAAATCTGGCACATGGACCGTATGGATCAGACACACAGCAGAATTAACCCCAAAGCTGTTCTTATTGATTGGAAGAACAGGCTCTCCATTGAGCCTAAATGCACTGTTGTTGCAACAGAGATCAAATGGGAATAAAGCTATGAAAGTAAAGGAGTATTTGCCAGTATAAAAATTGTGGCAGAAGGTGCCAGGCCAAAGTACTTGGATGTATTCCTCATGCCACAGTTTAAATACAGCCCTAAATGCATGCTTTTTAAAACACAAATTCTATGAAGTTTCCAAAAGTCTTACCTTCCACTCCAATTTTGCCATCACCATCAGTGTCACCTGCAGCCAGAAAAGCCTTGGTCTCCGCAGAGGTGAGGACTCTGGCACTTGAAGAGAAACTCTTCAGAAACAGCCTGAAATGGAACAGAGTAGAGTACTGTGTTTGAGTTTTATTCTCTGAAATGTCCTTGGCATATTGGTATTTCTGGTTTTTTTAAACCCGTGCCAAAAAAAACATAATGGTTTTGGTAATGCCTGCTCTTATTGTTTGAGGAAATCCACACAGATTCAAGGAAAGACAAGGAATTGTGGTTTGTGTTTTTTTTTTTAAATAACAGCAAGTTTCTTCTAGGACACCAAGCCAGTTCAAAGGTTTACATTGTTTAAAGAAATACAGCAGATGAACAGTACTTACTGGAGCTCTTCTTCTTCGATGAAACCACTCTTGTCCTGATCAAGGATTCCAAAAACTTTCTTTATCTGATCAGGAGTTTTGCTGGATAAACCAACCGTGGAGAAGAAAGACTTGTAATTGAAGGAATCATCAGCTGGAAGAAACAGAAGTTGTTAAAATACTTTCCCTTGAAGTTGCTACTTCTGTATGTATTCCTTGGGAATACGTATGTCTCTTCTTAAGGTGTCAGTCTGCTCCTCTTTCTCTTGTTCCCCACTGTAGCAATAAAGAAGATACAGTGGGTAATTTCCCTTTTTAATCACCCTGTGCCTGTGGTCATATATCCTTTCAGCCAGTTTGAAGTTTTCTGCTACAATGCACATTCTGCTACATCAGGATTTAATGCAATGTGTCACATGCAATTAATAATAAATACTTAGAGGGTGCTAATGTGGCTTACAGACCAACTCCTATGGTTCTTCATTTTCACTTAGTCCTTACTTTGGTGAAGGATTTGGTAGCAAAGTAATTCATAGTCAAAATAGCTTTTTGACCATTTGGAAAATTGGCTTGATTTTGCCGAGGAGCTCTTAAGAGAGCTAAGACTGGCCATCGCTTCACAAATGACACTTTGATTCTGCAAGCTGAGACTTTTTTTTGACATTTTGAAGGAAAAGTCTGACTATTTAAATATAGGTTTTTAACAGGTTTAAAAATTGAGAGAGTTTAGAGTTAAGCCAGCCCCAACTGAAACTGTGGACCTTTAATTGCTGCTTTGTGTTTTGGGGAATGTTACCCACCAAATAACCACTTGTGAGACTTTCTGAATTCAAGGGGCTATACTGTAATGTAGCTAGAAAGAGATCTCACGAGGAAGGAATCTAAGGGGAAAATGATAGGCATGTCATCTTAAGACATAAAAATGATATGCATCTTCTGGCTGCAGAGAGTCCATTCCTTACCCTGGCAGCTGGAGAGCGCAGATTCAATATCTTTAGCAGAAAGAATGTCAGTGATGGCCATTGTTGAACTGTAAAATAAATTAAATGTGAGCTACTTAGTCATTAAAATTACTTCCCTACCTTTTTCATGGCTCTATTTGAAGTTGCTGCTGTGACAGTATATGATAGGGGAGACATTATTCATCTAATTGTAAGCGGAGCGTGCTGTAACAGATGTCTGCAGCAGGTGCTTCCACTTAAAGCTGGGTAATGAGGGAGGAATTCTGCATGCGGGAGTGTGGGGCTTCAGGAAGATCTGATGCCTGTACTGCACTAGGAGAGCGAATCAAAGGTGTCTAGCACCACAAAACTTCATGACTTCTGTGAAGGTTTTCCTGGAGGTGGGTTATTACTGACCTAAACTTGGCATGTATTTACAGCACACATAAAGTACAAGGCTCAGTATGTCCCCTAGAACTGTATCTGGAATAAAGATAATTGGAATTTTAAGAATCTAGTATTATTATCAATAAATGTAGTGATCTTTTCAAAGAGTGAAAATAATAGTGTAGAATCCATAATAACTTTACCCATTTCAAGGGAATCTAAATTTGGAGAGTAAATTTGTCCTCTGTTTAGTTGCAACAATAAATGTAACGGCTATAAATTTGGCTTGCTGGGCTGCTGCATCATTAAAAGACTACATTTCATGATAGCTGTATAAAAAAGTTTTCTTAAGTATGTTGTGGGTTTCAGTTTTTTTTTTAAATCCCATGTTGGTGATAATAAACCAGATATTTATCCAGATTTTGGCATTTCAGTATCGTGGTGTGCTTAGAACAGAGGTATTGAGACTTAATATTCATTCCTAGTAGAGTGGAGAAGGGTTTTCTTCTGGTACAGCAGCATTTGACAAAAGATACTCCTTGTCCCATTCAGCCACCAACAGCTGCAATAGTTTGCCAACATAATATATATAGCTTAAGAAAATGCTACAAGGCCTGAATTTCTAGTCAATTTTTTAGTGTGAATGTAGTATCGATGCATTTACAGTTCGGTAAACTGCACACACCAGTGCAGACTGGTTACAGTTTAAAACTTGCGACATTATTGTAAAGTAGCTTCACATTAATGAAGGAAGGGGAACTAAGGCATAGAAAAGTTATTCTTGAAAGCCACAAGAGAACAGAATTATCTTTTAATAATGAACCTAACTGATCTTCAACAACATCATTCTTCCTGGCTAAGCATGGAAAGCAGCATTCATGCAAAGGAAACCAATGCTGGTAACCATTTATAGTCTGTGTGCTGGTTTGAGATCTACACGCAGGTTTAAACTTTGCCTAAAATATGAAATGGCTGCCTCCATACCCATTGGTTTGCAGCAGAGGAAATTGTCAATCATTTCAGTCCCTTTCCGAATATCCCAGCAGGTCAAAGAAGGCTCTGGGACAAATTCACGCTGATGGCACTGGGTACTTCTGCAGCTAAGGCAGATGAGTTACTTTTATTTTGCTAGCAATTATTTTGTCCAAGTTGCTTCTTGTGCAAAGTACTTCCCCCTTCTCAGCACTAGGCAAGATAATTTGGAGCTCTGCCATTCACCTAATTCTCACTGCTTGACAGGATTAAAAATGGGGAAGAGTTGGAGGAAAACCTAAAAATTGCAGCATTTTTTACAAGGGGCATCGTTCCTGTCTTTTTCCATCCTGTGATCTGAATGCTGATCCTATTCTATGTTAGCTTTTAAAGATCATAGAATTATAGAATACTGGAAGCTGTATAAGAATATATATTTCAATTGCATAGGTGCTTTCCATTTAGGGAGCATTTTGCTTTTGTGTTTCTTATTCTGAAAGCAGAGGATCTAATCAGCTTACCTTTGTGGTCTTCTTGACTGGATAAGGAAGCAATCTGGTTGGGAGGAACGTACTTGCTGTGTGTCTCCAGCAGAGCTGAGCTTGCATATATATACTTTAAGTTGTATACCATATACAGATTTCAGATTTCAGCGTCACGAAGGGGGAATGGTGTCAAATGAACTTGCCTAACTAATCATCTTGCACTATTTTTATCTCAAGAGAATACATATGATATTTGCAAACGAAACAAGATAAGTGGCCAGATAGGCGAAAAGGCCAGAGTCCTATCAAATTTCTTCTGATTTAAGCAGAAAATACCGACTTCTCCATATGATGTAAGGCAGGGAAGCCCCCTCACTGTCTGATACGCTTGATCCAAGGAGTCAGATGAAATGAAGCACTACTAACTTCTGCCTTTAATGAACGTTTAAATGTGATAACTTGTTGTCTTATCTGTAGACACTACATGTGATAGTTTCGTCATTAGACCACTAAACAACAAAAAATTAAAAATATCCTGTTCAAATATTGTTTGTGTAGCAAATCATTTAGGGAATATAATATTGTGTTGACTCCCAGAATGTCTGGTCTGTTGTTGTTTAAAAAAAAAAAAATAATCACACAGTGAATTTGTTGCTACAGGAGGTAAAATAATATTATGTCAATCCATCCGAACAGTTGGTTGGGGGAGGCTATTTCGTCTGGTATGTTTCCAAAGAAAATCTTAGAATTCTGCAAGGTTCTGACATCCTGTTTAGTCGCGTATGTATGAGGCAAAGAGGTTGTGATCTACCCAGCTGTCTCTGAGACAAAAGCCCCTGAGCCCTACATGAAAGATCTTTGCTTTCAGAATAGAGAGAAAAATTTCAATAGCAGCATCACTGCAGGGGACAATATGTGAGGAGTGTCTTTGCAATTTTTTAACCTACCTTCTGATCTCTTTTAGATAAGTGATTTTTTTGTTGTTGTTGTTTTGGCCAGTGCTGTTTCCAAGTGTTCCTTTGTGCTAATTACCTTTTTTTCCCTTTAAATAGCACAGAAATAATTTCATAATCTCAATTTTCTTTCATGAACATTGTAGCCTAACTGGGTGAGGAGCCTGTCAGCTCGGATCTCACTTGTAGCTTGAGGCAGCAGAACAGTGAAAGACAAGTCATATGGATAACAGCACAAGATGGCGTTATGGCCGGGGTAAGGGATGGCAAGGGATGACAGGGCAATTGGTATCATAGCTTGAAGTGGTGGCGCAGTAAGAAGTGACAGCTCAGAGACTGTCTGAATGTCAGAAAGAGTATCAAGGCATCTTTTTTCAGAAGCATTTCCCTCTTAAGATGGAAGGCAAACCTAACCAAGCACTGAAACCAATGACTAATAAATCCTAGCGTGAGGCAGAAAAAGTGTCACATGGGCTACCTATGAGACCTTAGTGCATCCAACATGGACAGCAGCTGATGAAAAATCAACAAAAGACTATTGCAAAAGATACTGTGTGTGGAGGGTGTGTTATTTAATGTACTGCATATAAACATAAGAAAAATTATTCCTAGAAGTTTTTTTTTTTTTTTTAACAAATTCTGCATGTCTGTCCTTCATGAAGAAGTTTCAGACACAGATAATTCTTGTAATGGGATGAACGGTTGGTTAAGAATGGTTGTGGAAGATTTCAGCTTTCCCAGTTTTCTGAATGGATTGTTGACCAGCTGACGCTGAAAAATTTCAAGAAGAGTTTGATGGATAGTTATTTAATACTGGCTCTTGTTGCCACTGGTGACATGTGGTAGAAGGGATACAAATATCACTTTCCCCGCTCAAACTCTCTTAAGAAATTACTTTTATGCTACATGGGAAAAAATTTCTTCTCCCTTGTGCACACACCACCCTTTTCTCCCCCTCCAATTCGGAAAATTGCCTACATAGTGCCAACAACTGATGTGAAGTAAGTAGGGCATCCAACATAAAAATTGATGGCATGATATGACCTAATGAAGCTAAGTTAAGAGGAAGGCCAAATTCTGCTGAAACTCTTGGACTGCAGGAGTCTACATGGGAATTTGGGCTCTGGTGTCTATTTCAGAGAATGCATTTGATTTTAGATGCAATGGCTTCTCATTTTGCCCAGAGCTAATTCCACATATGTTAACCCCTCGCCCCCACTCTTCCCTTTAAAAATAGCATTGATTGCTGTTATTTCCCTTAATGCCTGTGGACTGTTGCCATTAGTTTGAACTTTTGTATGTGAATCACATAAGGCTGCAGTCTTTAAAAGTGTGCTTTGTTTTCTAAGGGGCTTCAGCAAGGTGATTCCTTTTGTTCACTGAAATTTTAAGGATAAAGCATGAATGTGAAATGAAATTATGGGACTAGTCTGTTGAGCTGCATTCAGACTCCAGCAAATTTTGGAGTCACTTTTGCAGTGAGATTGGAGGCACTAGAGATCCAGAACACATGCACTGGCTGGCAGGATGAAGTGCACAAGGATCATGTAACTCTATTTACAACCATTTTATTTTCAAGCCCTACATTAGAGATTGCAAAAACATCTGTCTGGTCATTTTTGCTTTCTTAAATCAAATACTGTTAGTAACTTTCCAGCTGCCATCCAACTTGGCAGGGAGAGGAACTGGGGAAGCATCAAAAAGTAAGGAGAAGATATCCCTTTGTGAGGTTACCACTAAAGGCGGTTTTAAACCCTAGGACGTGAGCATTTCACTTTGCTCGAGTCTTATTGCCTTCTAGAGGACTCTGTAATGGAATGTTCCTCTCTGTTGTTTTATTCTTCCCATTTTTGATCTTAACTCTTCTAACACCTGAAGTTATCTCCCCAGGTCAAAAAGCTGTATTTTAGGTCATCATAAGTTCTGTGATTGTTCTATAATACTTTCTTGTCATTCTTCTTTGAGTGCTGATGTGAATTGTGTGTGCAATAGAATAACAAAAATACACTTAACAGTTGTGAATACCTACTTTAATTTAAATAAGCATGATTTGTTGTCCTTGTATATGCCTCAGAACGTTTTCCCTGAATGCTTATGATAGGGATATCCATAGTCACCAGTCAAGGAATAGAAATCACCTTATATAATGTGTTTAACCTATTGTTAAATGACATGTTAATAGTGAAAGTGGAATATTCATTCAGCTTGTAATTTGCTTTGGGAATATACGAGATGAAAGAAATTGTATGAATGTAATTTAATGTAATTGTATTCATGCATCATGCTCATGTCATTTGAGGAACATAACTCTTGGAGTGATCTGGAAATATTTGTGAGGGGTTTTGGATTTATATTGCGTATTCTAAAATCTGTAGAAAATTTGTGACTATCCCCCAGTAAAATGCTGAAAAATAAAAACACCAAAACAGTTGGTATTGGCTGAGGAAGCTGTACATGGGAAACACACCAAATAACATGTTTTATTTTTGCAAACTTGAGTGAATCACACAAATCAGGTAAATTATTTTTCACCAGCTATCTCATTCTAGTGTCAAGTGGCTTCAACCTTTGAGGTAGATTTTCAGAGATTCTAAGAATTTACAATGTAACTTTTCAACTTCAAATGCCTTTTAAAGTGCTAATTTACAAAATTCTTTAGTCATGTTTTTCTTTGATGTGTAAAGCAAATTTTTAAGCCAATTGAATTGTTTACATGAATCAAGCAACTTCTGGTTCTGCATATCTGAAATTTGCAAGAAAGAGTTTCAATTCTGATTCCAAAATCTGAAAGGAATGTGGTCCAGGTGTAAAATCTATGTGATATTTCAAGCTGTAGCTTGTAGCTTGTTTCTGAATTCAAACTTTCCAGTTCACTTCCATATCTGTTTCTTTCTGAAAACATTCATGCATTGATGCAGAAAGAAAAAGGTGGGTTTTTTTAAGAAATAAATTCACATAGAATGGTTTCTGAAATGATGGATTCCTGTGTCTATTAAATCTGATGCAATTGTTCATAAATAGACAAAATCACAGAATCATAGAATCGTTTAGGTTGGAAAAGACCTTTAAGATCATCAGGTTTAACCGTTAACACTGCCAAGTCCACCACTAAAACATGTCCCTAAGCACCATATCTACATGTCTTTTAAATACCTCCAGCAATGATGACTCAACCACTTCCCTGGGCAGCCTGTTCCAATGCTTGAAAACCCTTTCGGTGAAGAAATTTTTCCTGATATCCAATCTAAACCTTCCTTGGCGCAACTTGAGGCCATTTCCTCATGTCCTATCACTGGTTACTTGGGAGGAGAGACTGACTCCCACCTCGCTACAGCCTCTTTTCAGGTAGTTGTAGAGAGTGATAAGTCTTCCATCAGCCTCCTTTTTTCCAGGCTAACCAACCCCAGTTCCCTCAGCCGCTCCTCAGAAGACCTGTGCTCGAGACCCTTCACCAGCTTTGTTGCCCTTCTTTGGATGCGCTCCAGCACCTCAATGTCTTTCTTGTAGTGAGGGACCCAAAACTGAACACAGGATTCGAGGTGCGGCCTCACCAGTGCTGAGTACAGGGGCACGATCACTTCCCTGCTCCTGCTGGCCACACTATTGCTGATACAGGCCAGGACGCTGTTGGCCTTCTTGGCCACCTGGGCACACTGCTGGCTCATACTCAGCTGGCTGTTGACCGACACCCCCAGGTCCTTTTCAGCTGGACAGCTTCACACCCACCCTTCCCCAAGCCTGTAGCACTGCATGGAGTTGTTGCGACCCAAGTGCAGGACCTGACACTTGGCCTTGTTGAACCTCATGCAGTTGGCCTCGGCCCATTGATCCAGCCTCTGTAGAGAGGTGTAGATGCATGTCAGTTGGGCTATTGATCCTGCCACCTTTTTGCGGGGAGAAGCCCTAATTCCTACATGATCATTCTCAGGTGCTTCTGTGGTTCCTAACACATCAATAACCTTTGTGTCTCTGCTGCCACATGGACCTCCATCCCTTACCTCCACTGAGATGGGCAGACCAAAGGACCTCACTAGCACACTGTCCCTCAAACATTGGCGTACTGCCCCCAGGCTTATCTCTTGCAGGCCTGGTTTTATCCCTTTCCCCCTTCAAATCTAGTTTAA